AAGGAAAACAAAAGTGTGAGATTAGAAGGTATGTCAGAAACACACTGTGAACATTGAGAGGGAAAAGAAACTTCCAGCTGGGTCCTGGAGGGACCAGGAGACAAGCCAATGTCATCAGAATCACCCAATAGTCAGGCCTGGGACAGTCTGGGATAAGGCAAGAAAGTCATCGATTCTCCAAGCTGGAAGGGCTCCTAGAACCTTCCTATTTTACAGATGGGGAAACTGAGGCCCAGAGAGCAAAAGGGACTTGCTTAAGGCTCCACAGCTGGTAACAGGCAGGGCAAAGGCTGGAACTCGGGAAACTTTGGCTCAGTCGGTCTTAGTCTCAGCACTTAAGTCTATAAATACCCTGGCTCCCTGTTGCCTCACAGGTGTGCGATCCACACTGCTCCCAGAGTCCACAGTGGGCATAAGCTCCATTCGCCCAGAATGGGAACCTGTACACACTGCCCCCTTTAAAGGCCACCTCCCTGCCTCACCTCACTTCCTCTCTTCCCTAAGGGTGCTTCCTGAGATCACCTCCCAACTAAACTCCTTGCACAGATTCCTTGTCTCAGGGTTGGCTCCTGGAGAACCCCACTTGTGATAGAGCCCACTATCAACCGATCAAACCACATCCATACGACCTGCAAGGTCCAGGCTCAATCTTCAAAATATCTCCTTACCCTGTCTAGAGTGTAGAATTCATCTTCTTAAAATATAGAGTGGATTACAACACTCTTGTGCCTCCAATTCTCTCTCTCTCGCAAGGACAAGCAAACTTTCTGTAAAGGGCCAGCTATTAAATATTTTTGGCTTCGTGGGCCAGATGGTCTCCCTTACAGCTACTCAGCTCTGCAGGTGGAGTGTGAAGTCAGCTGTAAGCAATATGTGCGTGGCTGTTTTACAATAAAACTTTATTTACAAACACAGATGGCCATCCTGAGGTCCAGACTGTGCTGAGCGACAGGACCGGGCCTCTTGTTGTATCATTCATGGCCTTTCACACTCTGCCCCCACCCACCTCTCAGCCTCAGGTTTAAATATTTGTTGGCTGTCCACTGGGTGCATTCATAACCCAATATAGGCTCTGAGTATGAGGACTTTCAGAATCTCTCCTTCTGGGGAAAACTACCAGTTACTTCACAAAATAATCAGATAGTTTGGTTAAACAAAAGGTTTTTTTCCCCAAGATTGAACTACGGTGCTTGGTGGAGATCCACTGTCTCTCTTGGTCTCATACCCTCATCTGCACTAGCCACAGAACCCCTCTCTCCTGTGGGAAACCTATGCCCTGTGGTCCTGATGTGGCTGGCCCCACTCCCAGCCACAGGAGCCACACCTGACCCAGACCTGGCCAATCAGAACTAGCTTTTCCCCAGGTCACGGGATGCTTCAGGGAGAAACCCACGACCCAATCTGGACCAATGAGAATCTTCCCTAGTTTTTGTTCTCCTGATGGGCTTCTAGGCAAGGGGCATATGAGTCCAGAGAGGCTGATGGCCAAACCCAGCCACCATTTGAGGCCTGTTTGAAGAATGAAGTCAAGAGATGGAGAGAGAGGGGAAACCCTCACGGACTCAGGCAGTGACAAAGCACCTACTATATGCCAGGCTCTGAGCTAACTTCTGGTGACTTCAGGATGAGTCAAACCTGGTGGTCCCTGCTTTCAAGTGGCTCAGAGATTGGAGAGAGAAGGAGACAGGTCAACCCATAATTACATTTCACTGTGAAAAGCTCTCTGACACAGAGAAAGGTCTAAGGGAGGGGCACTAAAACCCTGGAGCTGGCCAGGATGCTTCTTGGGTAGGCAGGGGCCAGACCTTCTGGGAGTTGTGTTGGTAGGCACTGCAAGCCCTATGTTACCTGAGCTGCCTTTGGGAGTGCTCTCCCAACTACAGCTTCGAAGTTGGGGCCAGTTTCCTGCACCCACCACTGTCCACCTGCGGCTCTGCCCGTCCTCGCTCTGGCTCCCCGTCTCTCTCTGAACCTGGCTTTTTCCAGGAATCCAATAGTTGCCACTGAGCTGTGACCCTCAGAGACTCCTCCCTAGGCTGGGAAAGCTCCCTGGTGTTGCCAGGAAAAAAGACCCGGGTGGGGTGCCTGAGTGCAGGACAGAGCTTATGTGGGGAACAGATGCTTCAGCCTATGAGACAGGAGAACAATTAAGATGACTTTGGCTCTGATTCCTGGAAGGAGAGGCTGACCACTTACCAGGAGACATGCAGAGGGAAGAGAGGGCTCAGAGTCTCTTCCAAACTTGGTCATCTTGCTTTGAAAGCAACTGGGTTTGCTCAGCCTTGGATTGATGGAGGAGAAACTGGGGGAAGGGATGTGGGCTTCTTGGATGCAGAGGGGGTGGGGCATTTGGGGCTAGCTTTTCTTTTGGCCTCGGCACGTGGGATCTTAGTTCCCTGACCAGGGATCAAACCCGTGCCCCCTGCAGTGGAAGCGCGGAGTCTTACCCACTGGACCGGACGGCCAGGAAGTCCTTAGGCTAGCTCTTAAGCAGAGTTGGGGAGAAACCAGGGGACAACTGAGAACCCAGCCTCTCCAACATAACCCCCTTGAACAGAGATTTGTCAGGTAGCTGCTGGTGCAGAGCTGGAAGACCTGAATTCCAGTCCTGCTCTGTGACTCACCCTGGCCGCCTGTGGGTCCCCCACTCCAACCCCCAAATCACACACTGCACTTGTCAGTCATCACTGGTCTTAGACATTTGTCATCATCATGGCTCGGCTGGCTCATCGTGTGTCTCCCTCCTTGGCTCTGAGCTTTGTGAGGGACCCCAGAGCCCAGCATTCAATATTTTCTAAATGGATGAATAAATGATCACAGGGGACACTGTCGAGTTGTAGGTACATCACTCTATCTCTCTCGATCTCAGTCTTCACATCTGTCACTTGGGGACGATGATCCCTTTGGTTGTTTGGGCATGCCCAGTGCCTAGCTGGGCTTCAGTGTGTGATGACAGTCAAGTAGTACAGATGTCTCTGTGGACACCAGCGCGGCAGAACAGGGCACACACTCTTTGTCTTTGAAATCAAGAGGAATTTGGACACCTTGAAGTAGGTTCTCACTGTAGTTCTCATCTTCCCTTTGTTTCTCTACATGTACTGAACCCCTACTCACCATGGGCACTTTCCAAACAAACAGCCCCAGGTCGGGTGCCCAGGATGCCATGTAGGACAGAATTTAGCATGCATGTCATTTATTAGCAAGACTCTTTGGATGGCACTTGTGTTGGGGAGGGAAGAGGGAACGTGGATGGAGGGAGAAGTTGAACCTTGATGCAGGTAGGACAACAGCCTGGGTCAACTCCACAGGCAGCCCTGGAGCTAGGCTGGCCCTTTGGAGTCGTGCAGGCCTATACACCCTAAAGTGATCGGTCCCTGGATGTGACCTTGGGGACGTGGGTCTCTGGAGCTGGGTTGTCCCTGGCTGACAGCTGCAGCTGTTTGTTGACAACGGTACCCCAGCCACTGGGGATCTGGGCGGTACACCATGGTGTCTACTGCACAACTGTCCCCAAAGGTAGGTACCGTTATCTCCACTTATGGATGGTGACGCTGAGTTCATGTGGGTGAACCATCCCACCCAGGGACGCACAGACAGGAAGTGCCTGCCTCCAGAACCGCCCGTGTCTCTCACCGCTGCCCCGGTGGTGCTCAGACCTGCGCCAGGCAGCCAAAGGCACAAACCCCACACCCGAGTCACTTCCCGTCAGCTGGCAGGCCTGTCATCCAGCACCTCTCGGTTTTGCCTGAAGCCCGCGAGGCGAGGTGGCTTCCCAGCCCGAACCCATCCATCCGTTTGTATTTATTCTGTGTGCAGCCAACAGCTGCCGGGAGCCAGGGCTGCCAACACACTGCGCCTTCAACATGCATCTCTCCACCCATTTCAGAGAGTCCTCCTCTGCTAGCTTTTCTGGGAAGCCTAGCTTCCCACCCCCCTTTCTCCTTGCCAGCAATGTGGCTGGATTTCAGAGGAGCCCCAGGATGGGGGGGAACTGGAAAAAACAACACTCAGGATGTGGTAGGGGGCGGGGTGAGGAATGGCTGCAAAGATCTTCTGGATTCCAGCCCAGTTTCATTTCAATTTTTTTCTCCTTTCTTTTTACCAACGCATAGCTGTATAACATTGCAGGATACGGGCAGTGAAATGTCTGGGTTTACTGGTGTGGGTTTGGACATGGATTTTTGAGTAACGCAGCCTGGGGTTCTGATCTGTGTTTTGCAGTGTGACCTTGACCAGGCGTCTGTGCTTCTCTGAGCTCCTGATTCTTCGTTTGTGAAGTGGGTTAGTGATCTCAACACTCGGGTCCATTTGGAGGACTGTTACGGGAACTACAGCAGTGGGCCTAATAATTACATCATAAATGAGACCTAGTATCAGTATTACTCCACTGTACTTTCTCCTATAGGCCGTCAACGTCCTCCACTATTCCCAGTACTCAAGTTGCGACGGTGCTTTGCAGCTCACCTCATGGCACCTCCATCAGCCTCGAAGACGCTAGGCTTTTTCTCCAAGCCACAAAGCAGACCTCTCCTTGCCCCTTCCAACCACCCCAAACCGACCAATTCTACCCATCCTTCAGCTCTTGGCTCACACCTCGACTTCCCCTAGGACAACGGCTGGCAAACTCATTCTGCAAAGAGCCAAACAGTAAATATTTTAGGCCTTGTGGGACCCATGGTCTCTGTTGCCACGGCTCAACTCTGCCATCATAGCTCAAAAGTGGCCGCAGGCAATCCACAGACAAGTGGGTACCGCAGGCTTTTAATACAGCTTTATCTATGGACACTGGCACTTGAATTTCCTATAGTTTTCACGTGGCATGAAATATTATTTTGACTTTTAAAACAATCATTTAAAAATGTGAAAACCATTCTTAGCTTGGGAACTGTACAAAAGGAGGCAATGGGCCGGATTTGACCTGTGGGCATAGTTTGCTGATCCCTGCAGGCTACATTAAGGGCCCTTCATCGAGGCTTCCACAGTGTCCCTGAGTTACCCCATCACAGCACCGAGCAGGGGTTGTTGAATGTACCTGTTAACTCCTCAGCAGACTACGAAACACAAGGGAGGCACCAGATCTCAATCACTGCTTAAACCCTCAGCACCCAGCACACAGTAGGTGCTCAATAACTGTATGTCACACAAGCCCATGAGGATAAACAAACCCTTTCAACAGCTCCATATGGCACGTTTTATAAGCCCCACTTCACAGATGGGGAAACTGAGCCTCAGAGAGGGAAAGGGATGATCTCAATGTCACACAGCTGCAAAAAATGATTCACCTGGGACTCCAACCTCCGAAGAGAGAATGAGAGAGACAGCCTTAGCTGAGCAATTATTATGTGCCCGACACAGTGCCAGGGGCTGTGCGTGCATTACATCGCCCCCAGGTTACTGTGCACCCACTGTGTCCCTGGACTTACTGACACTGCTGGATTCCGCACAGCCAGAGCTCTAGACGGTTACCTCACGCGGCGGGAACCATACCTGTCTTGCTCCCTGCTGGGTCCCCAGAGCCTAGAGCAGCACTTGGCACAGAGTAGAGGGTTCGAAGGTCATTCGTGGCACAATGAGTGTCCACCCCAAGCCAGGCCGGGCGCCGCATCGTGCAATTTCCATATGTAAGTCCACCATCTTCTGTCACCATCTCCCAGGAGTGCAACCTGCAAATCAGCTGAAAAGAGAAATTGATTAAATTAAAAAAAAAAAAGAAAGAAAGAAAAAGAAAAACAAAAAAGCAGTGACAGCCGCGCCAGCCGCAGCAGCATCTGCTGAGTCAGATAGGTTATGCATCCGCAATAATCCACGGCTCCTAATGGAGCGATCTCCCTCCTCCAAATACATAAATTAATAAAGGCGTGCAGACGAAAGGGCAGCCAAGGCAAAGAGGCCTCCGGCTGGGAAAAGTCGCCTCCCCAAGACCGATGCCCACATCTGCTGCCGAGGTGGGAGAGACGGGCGCCAGACCCCAGCCTCCACCAAGTGCGCTGCAGCCCGCGACGCCCCTACTCCGGAGTGGGTCCAGCATGCACACCAGCTGTCCAAGGCAGGCCCTGGCTCCCAGGGGCCCCCGACGGTGTGTTTGATTCTTAACCCAAATCGTGCCCCAGCGGCCGCTCTGTTAAGCAGGCCCAAGTGGCAGGAGGCTTCTGTGGGAGAACTGGGGGCCTTTATCGCTTGCGCTGGCTTGTTGGCGGAGCCCCTTGGCCGCACTTCACAGGCGCCCCGCGGAGCCCCCTAGGCGGAACCTTCTCGAATCCCACTTGTTGACGGCGGCCTTGTGGCAGGATTTAATGGTGGAATAATATTTACACAGCAAACTCCTCTGGAGGTGTCCTAAACATCGTAAAAGAGATTTTCGGAGCTTAATGAGCGTTAGTGAAGTCAAGACAGGATAATGCGGCAACTGGTGACTCTAATCTGATCTGGCACCTTCTACGCAGTAAGACTTAGTGGGCGGGGCCATTTGGAGGCTGGCAAAAGTCGCTTTTCCCCTCTGTTTCCCCTCCTCTCCCCCTGAAATCTGTAACACAGTTAGCAGCACATGGCCTGCGGGGGCCGCATCTCAGCTGCTGTAGGTGCCAGCAAAGCCCAGGCTTGGGTCCACTGAGGGACTTTTTAACAGGTGAGTGTTAGGGAAGGAGCGGGCAGTGGGGGAGATAGACCTCATCACGTTTTCTTTCTTTTATCTGAAGGCAGCACAAAACTTCTAAGCATTAAAACAAAACAAAACAAAACAAACCTTGGATTTTAAAATGTCGATAACAGATTCAGTTTCGTGCCTGTGGGTCAGAAAGGCCACAGCCACAATCCATTCCTACATCTGAACCAGCAAAACTGCTCCTGGGAAGGTGAGCAAGGCCTCAGATACACAGGCTCTAGAGTTGTCGCTTCAAATCCCGGCTCCGCCATCTCCTGGCCGAGTCACTTCCCTCTCCAAACCTCACTTCTGTCATCTGTAAAATGGGAATGATGGGCCGTACCTATCATGGGGCAAGAATGTGAGTCAAATACATAGAAAGCCTAGCACTGGAGCTTACATGGAGTAAAGAGCTCATAAAGACGAGTTTAAAAGTCTTTTCTGACCTCAGTCTTCTCATCTGTAAAATGGGACTGCTGTTACCTCTAAGAATCAAATGAGATAAACTGGCACAGTCTAGCTTGGATTCAGATCTAAGAGTCCAGCTCCCAAAGCCAATTCCTGTTACGCCCTTTGCCTTCAGTTCACTGTGACTGACTGGCATCCGAGAGGCTGCCATAGGGAACAAAGTCCCCCAGAACTGAGAATTCATTCCTTCACTTCCCCATAACCACAGTCAGATCCTGAGCTCTGCATCTTGTTGATACAGGAAGGGAATCTGTGCAGAATCAATGGCAGACTGTGTTGTCTAGGACTTGAGAACCAGGGAGATCCTTCAGAGGTCTCTAGCTAGGTTGCTCTGGTTACTGGGAGTTAAGCAGTTGCTTGGTGTTGTGAATTTGGGGGTCCGAGCTGAAGGCAGTAGACAGCTCTGACCAGTGCAGTTCTGCATTGGAGGGGGCCTTGTGAGCTCCAGGCTGACCCCTTGGACCCACTGGGGAGTCCTCTAGGCCTATCCTGTGGTGACTAAGCCTGGTTTTGAATCTTCCCCTCGTTAGCTGTGTTCCTTTGGGAAATCGACTTACCCTCTCTGACCTTCAGTCTCCTCATCCACAAGAAGGGAAAAGGAAAGTTATCTCATAGGGTTCCCGTGAGGTTTGAATGGGATGGTGTGTATAGAGATCCTGGCATAAAGTATTCTTCACATCAAGGACTCATGACCCCCACTATCCTCAAACCTATGAGCTTAGAGCCTGAGATTTATAAGAAAGAGCCAGGTGTCCATTTACTACTCTCAATTTAGAAAATCCCAGAGAAGGCCTCTGATTGGCCTGTCCCTGTCATGCAACTATCCTTTAGCTTACAGGCAGACCTCAAGAGATATTGCAGGTTCGGTTCCAGACCACCATAATAAAAGTGAATATCACAATAAAGTAAGTCACATATATTTTTTTGGTTTCCCAGTGCATATAAAAGTTACATTTACACTATACTGTAGTCTGTTAAGGGTGCAATAGCATTGTGTCTAAAAAACAATGTATATACCTTAATTTAAAAATACTTTATTGCTAAGAAATGCTAATTATCATCTGACAACACAGGAACAGCCACAAACCTTCAACTGGAAAAAAATGGAGTATCTGTGAAGTTCGATAAAGTGAAGCACAATAACTTGAGATATGCCTGTAATTGCTGCATCCAAAGGGCTGGCTGTGGTTACATTATAAGGGTTTTTATCTTAAGATAGGAAGAGTGGGTGCATTTTCTGGAAGGAGAGAAATAATAGTCACTGAAGACCATTTCAGTGGCTCTGTGACCATGGTTAAATTTCTAAACATTTCTGAGTTTGGTTTGAGGTCTGTAAAATGGTTGAAAAGATGTCTACTTTCTGTTGAGTTGTTTTGAAGATGAAGCAGAAGAAACCACGTGGCAAAATGCCTGGCACATGGTCCAGCTCAGTAAGTGTTTGCTGAATCCGTATCAAGCCTGTCTTGATTGTTGGTACTATTAGTCCCAAGGCATCTTTAATGATTAGTAATCATATAAGAATAAGGAATAATTTACTCAGTCATCAGTTATCCTTTTCCAGGTGTTCAGAGACAGAAAAATGCAAGTAGGAGATGAGTTTATATGTACGCTTTAAATTTCTAAGATTAATTTATTTTTCATATCATTGGGCTAAAAAAATCAAATGGGAGTGGTGAAGCTGATGGATTTTGTATTAAACTTAGATGGGTCCACCTTTTTCACTAATATTTTACTATAAAAAGTGTCAAAGACAGAAAAATTGAAGGAAGTTTATAGCAAACTTCTCATGAAAGTTTATTAAAAGTCTGGAACTTTTTATAAAGCTTTTATCCTCCACCTAGATCCCACCATTAGCATTTATATACTCTATCGTGTCTATCCATCTATCTAACCCTCTATCCATCCATTAATTCATCTTATCTTTTATGCATTTCAAGCAAACATTTCAGCAATGCAATATCAATATGTGTTTACAGTTTTTATGTAAAAAAGTATATGAATGTATTGAAATGCATAAATCATAAGTGGGGCTGACACTGAATTTTGTCAAATGCAAAAAACTGTGTGACCCAAACCTCTCACCCCTCCCCAGAAAGTTCCCACAGCCCCTTCCCAGTCAATCCTTGCCCTAACCCCCAGAGGCAAGCACTGTTATTATTTCCCACCATCTATTAGTTTTGTTTTTTCTAGAATTTTATATAAGTGCATACAATTTGTACTCTTTTCTGTCTGGTTTCTTTCATTGAACATGAAGTTTTGGAGACTGACTCATACCATTATATATATCAGTAGTTTGTTCTTTTTACTCTTGCGTAGGACTCTACCATGTGAACATACCATAATTCATTTGTTCGTTCTGTTGATGGTCATTGGGCCATATCTAGTTTTGCTTTAAATAAAACTCCTATGAGCATTCTTATACAAATCTTTTTGTGAACTTGTTTCATTTCTCTTTGTAAATACTGAGTTAAATTTCTGGGTTATAAGGTAGGGAGGGGTATGCTGAGTTTTATAAGAAACTTTATAAGCTTTTTCCTAAAGTGCTTATACCATTTTACAGTCCCACCAGCAATGTATAAGAGTTCCAGTTGCTCTTCAACCTCATCAACAGTTGTTGTTGTCAGTATTTTTAATCTTAGCCAACTTGTGAGTGTGCATTAGTATCTTACTGTGTGTACAGGCCATTTTTTTTCTTAACCAGGGCCAAGTTCTCATCCATTTCATAAAATGCCTGAAGTGGAAGGACCCTTATTTTACAGATAGGAAAACTGAGGTCTAGAGGGGAAAGAGATTGGGCCAGTATTTCCCAGTTGTGTTAAAGGTAAAGCTAGACTAATAATTCAGGCTTCTGACAACTGATCCGGCGCTCACAATAAGAATATGTCATTAAGTTGAGCACCTACTATGTGCCAGGCACTGTAGCAGACTCCCTCCTATTTACTATTTAAATTATTTCATTCAGTCATTCATCTAGTCATTCAACAGACACTCACTAAGCTGTTCCCTGGGCTCTGCAGGTGCAGAAACAAACAATGGAACCATTCTGGCCTCCTCCAAGGAGCTTACATTTGAGTACACGAGAATCTTTAATCCTTAATCAAAGCAGTATTTTTTGCCACTTTAGACATAGTAAGACCTACATGCATTAATGCATCAAACGTGCCTTCTTCAGTGTAAAGGGAGCTGCTGTAAGTACTTTGGGAATCTTGATTACTAGAGCAAAGAGGGTCCTAACTCCAGAAAATATGTATTTTTACTCCTGTCCATTTTGGTTCCAAACTTGGGCCACTGCACAGCACCTTTTCTCCTGGAAGGGTTCTGCTAAGTGTCCCCTGAGGAAAGTTAGATGTCTAAGAGCCCAGTTCTCTACCTCATGGGAAGAAAATCCTCACAGAGAGAGTGGGATCTTTTCTCAACCTTACTCACAGAAAGCCTCTGGGGTCCAGTGAAACCTGTTTGGTTTTTTTCCTAAAGTCAACTGGGAGTGGATTTTTAGTCTAAGGAAGAGCACCATACAATTTTAAAAGGAGAAGAGACCTTAGATATTATGGCATCTAGGCCTGGCCCTGCCACTCGCCCCCTCACAATTTACTCAGCCCGTCTCTGCGTAACAACTCTGAGTCCATATATAAACTCATTCTTAGTCCAGAGCTTTGTTCAAGATTTTTCTCTGCTAAGAGCATTCTGTCCCCTCCCCACCCCACCATCCCCTTTTGCCTGAAAAATTCCTATATGTTCCTCAGATTGCAGCTTAAATGTCACCTCCTTCAGGCAGCCTTCCTTGATTTACCACCACCCCCCCCCCAGCTGGGTCAGACGGCTTTCTTGGGTTCCCACGGCTCCTTCTGCTTCCCCTAACAGCACTAATCACTGCACTGTACAAAAGTCTGTTCAGTTCTCTCTCCCCAAGGAGAGCAAGCACTGTGCCTGATTTCTTTACCATGAATTCTCGGTACAAACACAGGGCCTGGCACATAGTAGGTGGTCAAAAAATGTTGATTGAATTATGACTGAACCCAGTGGCTTCCACACCCTCTCAGTCTCCTCTCAGATCCAGCTTCTTTGCACACAAAAGTCAACCTAACAGCGGCTGACGCATCCTGGCAGGTATCCGGTTCCCTTCTCATGACTGTCCCCCTCCTGACTCATTTCCCTGTTAAGCAAGCAGGACCCCAGAGGGCCCTGATCAACACTGTCAACTTCCTGAGGCTGCACCATTTTAATAAAAGTGATGGGGGAGCTTGTGATGGGGCCTCCTGCCGTGACCCCCATCAGATAGAAAGACAGGGATAATACAGTACAGGCCAGCAGCTTCTACCGCAACGTCATAGCAAGGATCCCAGGTGAAATGCACAGGAGATGTAATTACAGGTGAGGAGGATTATGAGCGGATAGGAGCCACAAGCTACTTCCCCTCCCCCTCGCTCCCTACCCCAGCTGCCCTCCAGGTCCTCGGCAAGCTGGTCAGGTACCTGGTTCTGTAATGAGTTTAAGGGTAAAAGACGGATGGGGCTCAGTTACTGGAGAAACTATGGCCCACATTCTCTGTTAGGGAGAGCACATTTCAACTGGGCCACGTTCTCCAGAGAATATTTTCTGGCGGGAAAGCCCTTCTGCTTCTACTTGCTCATTACAGTCCCTCTGTGACTTCGTAAATTGTACAAATGAGGAAAATGAGGTTTGAGACCCAGAGTAGGTGTCCCTGAAGTCAAAAACAGCATACCAGTCTAGGTTCTATGCAGGAAACAAGGTCCAGTCTAGGTATTTTAAGCAGGATGGGATTTAATACAGGGATTTAAGTGCATACAGAACTACCGGAAGGAGCAAATTCTAGGTTAAGCCTCTTGGAATAACTCCCAGAAAATACAGAACAGAGGCACCCGGACAGCTGCTGCTGGAATTATGCTGGAAGCAAGAAGCTGCGGCACGTCCAACACCACTGCCTCTAGAGACCCAGGATGAGGGACCAAGACACATGGTCTCTGCTGCAGGAGAGTCTTGCATTTGCGTGACTAGATTGTCCAACAGCTATGGCCTCGAGCCACCAGAGTGTGGCTTCACATCAGCTTCCCAAATGTCACATCAGTGCCTCTCATTGGTAGGGATGAATTCTAGCTGCAAGGGAGTCAAGAAAGATCAGTGTTGCCTTTCCCTCCTCTTCAAGCTGCAGGAGGTAGAATGGAAATTCAGGGAAGCCGCCCAGAGGACCTGACACATAGACAGGAAACCTGCTAAATCCCAGCTCTGCCATCTTCTAACCGTGTGTCCCTTATTGTCACTATGACATGGTAATATGGACAGCCACCTTATAGGGGTTCTGAGAGGGCTAAATAAGATGACGTGTGTACAACTCTCAGTGTAGAGCCTGGAATATCTTAAGTTCTCAACAAAGGGTAGGCAGTGAGACTTTTATCATTACTGTTTTAGAAAAGAATAGTCCTTCCCCCACCAAAAAAAAAAAGAAAGAAATCAGGTTACACAACCACGCATAATAACTTCATACTACTTCTGGGAGTAAGAAATCCATGGAGAAATATAATTTGGATGCAGAATTCTTGACTTTCCAGGTCTTTTTTTGTTGTTTTTTTTTTTTTACCTTTTTGAGAAAATTGGAAAAGCATACTTTTGGGGGGAAAGCCTATGACATGGTTAATCGCCCTCTGTAGGTCAGCTCAGGGAGGGGGACAAAACATCTGGGGAAGAAAGGTTATCAGTACTAGTTCTCCCAGAAACAGATGAAGGCCCCACTTTGTTTGTGACCACAGACAAGGCAAGGGAGAGGGCAGAACATCTTCATCTCCAGCCTGTGTTTTGGGAGAATGAAGAAGTATAAGTTTGTCCCTAGGGAGGGGGCTGGGTCTGCAGAAAGAGGAGAGAAATAAGAGTCAGGCAACCCTGTGGGCCCTGCCCAACACTGATTCCTCTGAGCTGCGTGACCCTAGGCAAGTCACATTCCCTCTTGGATCCTCCACTTTCTCATCTGCAAAATGGGGGCCATCACTTTCACCTGCTGGATTGTTATGAAGACAAGAAGCCAGGTCAGACATTCGATGTTCTGTTCCCCGGTCACTACCCACGGGCCACATCTTCCTGCCAAAAATCAGCAGGATTTGTGAGCTCAGGCCAAGGGAGAAGGTGTGGGGGTAGCCAGCCTGGTGGAAAGAAGTCTGCTCTGGGCGTCTCTGCCTCACTGAAGCTGGACCCTACACCTGCAGCAGCCAGAGCATCTTTTGTAAAGAAGCCAACATGTCTTTCTCCCATCAGTGGTGGTGGAGGGAGAAGAAGAGAAACTCTCACCAGGCAGGAAGGGCAGCAAGACACACTTTCCTACCGTGGTTTCGCAGGGTCAGGTATCAAAGTACCTGCTTGCAGGTAACCAGCACCACCAGAGAGTGAAGCCAATATAGGGAAGAGAAAAGCCACGCACGGAAGTGGCTGGGTCTCAATCAGAAGATGCCTTCCCCAGCCCTGCCACTCCGGACGCAAGCTGCCAGCTCCCAAGATGAAGGTCCCCACCCTGCTTCAGTGGCGAAAGTCATTAGGGAGCATCCAGGGCCCATCTTTGGCAGGAATGATAGCTGGACACCAATTTGGGCGCCTGAGGATGGTGGCCCGAGAGGACCAACAGGACACAGTGGGGAGGCCCGCTCAGCCCACCTGGCAGCCGGACCCAGACCTGGCTGTCTGGACCCAGACCTGGGTGTCTGTACCATATTGCTCACCGTCTGGCAAACCGACAGATTTTCACAAACCAGATTCCTCTTCACATGCCTGGGCCCTTCCTGTCCAACTGTTCCAGCATCTGTTTCTCTTAAAATGTATTTATTACACCGAGAAGCATAATAATGGGGCTGGGTCTGAGGCCTCGGAGGCAGTGGCAGTGGCTTCCTCCCAGGGCCTCCTTTGGAAGAGATTACATTGGGAGAAATGGTGCAGTGCTCAACCTGGCGACAGCCTGCCTTGGTCACTGGGGTCTGGAGTCACTAGACATTGGCCCAGAGTATGAGGCTGAAGGGGAAAGGCCATGATGGTAGCTGGGGGCTCGGACCGGAGTCTATTTGTGAGTAGTGTGGCCTCAGGCAACTTCCTGAACTTCTCAGAGCCTCAGTATCTTCCTCTGTGAAATGGGGGTAGAGCTACAAGATCTCCAAGGTGATTTATTTCTTGTTTTGCCTCTGAGTGCTTCAAAAAGCTCCTGCTTATGGAACTCAGTCTTACTTGGACCCCTGAGAATATGCATTTCTCCGTGTATTCATTCATTCATCCATTCATTTGTTCATCAGACTGTTCAACGAACAAGCTATCTTCAAGACACTGGTGATATGATGGTGCTTAAAAAAATTCCCAAAGCCCGTTTCTTACCACTCAGATAATTCAAGTACATTTGCAAATAGTCACGGCAACTAGGATTCCGGGGGCTGTTTACCGTGTGCCAGCCATGGCGCTCAGCACTTCACAAACATCGCAGCAGCCCGGTAAGGTTTATCTCTGTCTCTCTAGGGGAGATGGGGGAAACTGAGGCTCAGGAAGGTGGAGCAACTTGTCCGAAGTCACAAAGCGAATACACTGACAGCAAGCACATTCGGACTAGGATTTCACTACAGGCTGACACCTTGGGTTCTCGTTTAAATGCCTCGGCAGCTACAGAGGTTTGTCACTGCCCCGATTCTATCTGATTTCTACAGCAGCCCTATGGCGTGGCTGGAGAGGAAGGTGGGTCTCACATTATGACGAGGCCCAGGGGTGGAAAGTGGTTTCTCCAAGGTGACAAAGCAAGTCGATGGCAGCACCACCTGTAAACATAATAAAACAGAAACCAAACAACGAACCAAAGCCTTCTACCACTCACCCGTTGGTTCTCTTACTTAGTAGAGACCAGATATAGTTGGCTCCACGATGCACTTACTTAGATTTTACTATCTCTGAGTCAGGACTCATCTTACAATGAGTGGTGTGCCATATTTTAATTAGTAGCTTGTTTTTCTTTTCTTCTTAGCAAGACATCAAATAATGGTGCATATTACAATCAATGGCATGTTTAGCGGAATGAAATCTGGTGTTTCCTGAGCACCTAGTAAGTATAAGAAGTGTGCTGGGCATTCTTCCCCCTTGTCCTCCTCACTGAGGGAAGAGGCCCCAGGCAAGCTGAGATCCTTAGGGGTTCTTGGGAACATAGATTTTAAGTGTCAGTGTTTGGTTCCATTCACCATGTCCTGACCCTCCAACTCTGTTCACAGAATGAGGTTTGCAGACAGATCCCACTTTGAGAGGTGATGGTGGAGGTGGCAATAACCATCTCCAGACTCTCAAGAGCCCTCACTGAGGGGTCTCTGAACCTCAGTCCAGGCACTGGGCCCTCAGTCTCCACTCAGACACCTTCCCAAGCCTCCCAGGTCCACGTAGACCCAGCGGGATTGCCAGCAATCTCCACCAGGAGCGCAGAGATGGCGAGCCTAAGCACTGCCCCTAGGAGCTTTGGGAATAACTGAGGTGGACCGATTTCGCCAGCTAGGCCACCGCTGCTGACTCCTGAGAGACAGAGGAGGGAGGAGGGCAGGAGGAGCAAGTGACTGCGGCCAAAACACAGTGACGGGCTAGTTTGCTCTGGGCAGGCACCAAGCTGGGAGCGGAGCAGTGGCACTCGAAACTGATTGCCCCTGGTAGGAAAATCGACACTCCCCACCCACTCCCCACTGCCAGGACTCGGGGTGGGGGCCGACATGGAAAATTAAGTCACAGCACCAAGGTATCTAAATATTTGGAGTACATGTGGGTAATTTACCCCTTCTTGGCAGTCTGTCCCTTAGACAAATGGAGTGGGTAGACATCTTGGGAGAGAGGGAAACCCAGGGAGGCACATAGTAGGTGATCTATATATGGACACATCCTTTGGGGAGCAGGCAGAATTGCAGGGTAGAGCCAGGAGCTGGAAGGGAACTTAGGGGCCGAGTCCATCATATTCTTCCTTTTACAGATGACGGTGAATCATCATAGTCACACAGCAAGTTCCATCACTGGCAAGGTGGGCATGCAATGTCTCCCTTCTCCTAGTATAGTGTTTTCAAGCCCACAGCATCAGAAAACACACACACACACACACACACACACACACACAGTGGCTTTCCCATCACAGAAGCATTTCAAGTAAGGGATGGCCAAGTAAAAAATTTCCAAAGATCTTTAATACTTACATTCACCACTGTGTACCATAGAGGAGTAGAACCTCAGAGAAAATAAAAGCTGTCATTGACTATAATCAATAACCTCTGGTTTAAATGAAGTAACATGTTTCTTTATTGCAGGATTTATCAGAGCATTTTAAATGATGTTGTGCATTCCAAAGCAATAAGTGGGGATACGGATGAAAGGAGGCTCCAAATGAATGGACTTGAGCACCCAGGATATTATTTTCACTCCATTATGAATTTTCCTAAAATCATTTTTAAATTTTGATTTGTAATGCTAGGATGACAAAGAA